ATTCAGTAGTTGTTTCGCGTGGACTTGCTCAACAGGACACAAACAAGCAAAGGGAAACATGAATCACGATTCTTCATTTGGTTCAGAAAACTGAACTTCTTTGATGAGTTCGAAAGTAAGCTGAAGATATTACGCTCCGTCCCCTTCGGTACCTTAGCGGCGTCTGATTCTTAGAAAGGCAGCCGATAATCACTACATATCCACACGTGGTGATTACATTCCCCAGAGTCAATTCAGAATCAGAGCGTGCGTGCAGAGAGGTTGCCAACGGGCTGGAATCAAGCCAGCCCAACGAGGAAAACAAAGTTCGCCGAGTCTCAGGTTCGCTGGTGGGCTGATCTCAAAACTGGGACGGACCCTGCATGTGCTGAGGAGCAAGGCAAAAGATGCCGTATCCGTTATCCGTAATATGGAAGCACGAGGCTTGTAAACACGCTGCCCGCGGTCTCCTCGGCCGGCCTCCATCTTTTCTCCGCCTTGCGTTTATCCCCTGCCGGAAGTGGAGGGAAAAGAGAGTTTAAGCTCTGGTGACATGAATCAAGAGCGGCACTACCGCAGTAGCAGGGTCTCAAAAGTTGCTTGAAACTCTCAACTAGTGCGAAAACTGCTAAGCCTCCCCTTCATTGTCGTTTGAGCCATGTTGGAGAATTAAGGCTCCGGGACGCTCATTCCACATCATATTGTAATGAAGGGGCAGCAAGGGAGAACTGTAATACCTATCCCACATTGAGTCCCACGCGGTTTCCGAACGGATCAAATTCGCTGGCAATCGTCTGAAGATTATGTCTTCGGATAATTATTCACAAGATCGTCGTCGTCCCAACAATTTCGCTAAGACGGGCCTCGCCAAGGACTCGTCAATGTTGCACCCGTCCAGGTCGTTCGTCGATCACTTTCTGGGCGTCCATCACTATAACGACTCACATATCATAATGCATTGCTCTCACATTACTCGATCGACTTACACTGAGGGATGGTCTGCCCAAGCTAATGTCTGTTGATACAGTCGGTCAGCATGGGTCTAGTAGCTGGAAAATCGGAGTTTTCGCTAGACATTGTCCGTCTTGTATATGCGCGTTTAAGCTTGAGGGCATACCTAGCACTAGTCGATGCTTATCGTCAGACTCCCCAAGTGAAAAGTAGAAGCAGTCCTTGTCTTTCGGAGATGACGAACAGGCCACACGTCAACGGTCTCATCAAGGTACGGAGATTGCACAGCCTGCTTTCCGCATCTGTCATTCTGCAAGGCGCTCGATTTGGTGAAGGCATCGACGCGGGGAGAATTGAGTCGAAGTTTACTCGCAGATCAAACCAAACTTTCTTATTTGTCAGGCAACTTACTGCTTCCGGCGTGACGCGTGGTCGGAAATCCGGCAAGATGGGTGCGTCAATACGTTGAACTCAGATCATCCCGGTCATTGGCCAGCCGCAGCAACCCACAGGCCGTGCCGCGCTCGATGAGGTGATTTTCGGAGATATCCTTCGGTGTAAGTCTGCCGATTCTTGATCAAAAGTGGCCGGTGTCAGTGTCTCGTGTTCGAGACTGATCTCGGGACAAGTGTTTACTCACATGATCAAGGAGTGCAGTGTGCCTCATGAATGCGCCATATCAAACGAAAGACGAACTCGCTCTTGTTTCCGACGCATGCATCTCCTCGTCTTGGTGATGTCAATAGGACTGGAAAAGTTCTTTGTAAAAAGTCATGGCATATTTAACGACTTTCCGAACAGTACTGTTCATGGCTCGGATCTAAAGACAGATTGTTGACTTTCTCTGGTTGATAGTCATGTTCGACAAAATTCATCCGAGTAACTATAAACTAAAGCATGAAGTCGGGCTCTATGAACATTGAAAGCACGAGTAACTTTGCCTGATTGATACCTTGACTACATAGCGTAAAACCCCAAATTGAGCCTTCCTTCATGGTGCAAAATCTGAAAGGTCCCCTTCGCTAGCTGGGCTTTGGTCAGGCAACGCAGCAGAAGGCGCCTCATATATTTCGAATGAGCTGTCGGAATCTTCGGCCCCTTGTTCTCCCGTCAACTTTGCCTTCTTCTCCGAATTAAGTTGAAAAGGGCTCGCCTGACCATGTTCAGGAGTCGGACTTGACCAAGAGGATCTCACACGGCCTGTCTCCCTCCTGCCTTTACCAAAGATATCGAAATCTGAGCTTGAGTCGCTGACATTGCCGCCGCTGTCCACGCTTGAGTCAGAAGGGGCAAAGTCGCTACCCATATCAGTCGGTCCTAGCTCCAACGTTGGTCCTGGGGAATAAAGGGGCGATTGTCTCTTCTTCTGCAACTTTGATCGGAGTTTGCGCCTTCGCGCGGCTGCAGCTGGCACGCGTATAAGTAGCTTGTGGTCATGATAAACCTCGAGCCTCTCTAGGTCAGGAAACAGATGCTGGAATCCTGCGCTTGGTCGAACAGACGTCAAGGCAACCTTGACTACTTTCTCATCCAATAGAGCAGCTGACAATGTGCTTAGGCGTTTCAGCAAAGATTCGAAATCGGTAGCTTGATCCCCAGCCATGGTGAAGTGATCAACGCCTTCTATCATGATGTAGATGGTGGAAGATGGAAGAGCGCGCAGACATTCCACGAAAATTCTCCATGAAAGGTCCAGGTCTGTCTTGGCAGCAACGAAGATCTCGGCGTTGAATAGCTTTGGATCGCCATGTGAAGTCACTGTTGGAAACTTCTGAAGCATGCCGAAAAGCAGGCTCTGCACGAGAGCGCGCGGCTTTGGTGCATCGTCGTCACTCCCTCGATGTAGGCTTCCGAAATACGAAAGTGTGTCGTAACCGCTCTCTGTAGCTGCACGCACAATCTTTTGAGACAGGTCTGTCGTCCAGCTAGGGCGGCGAGGTATCTCATACCCATCTACCCACAGAAGACCAGATTTTGAACTGCTTAGCCATGACTGGAATGAAGGAAGGCGAAGGACATTGCTGCTCTCTACCAGATAAGACATTGGTATCAGATCTAATTGGAGATGAACTTGGTGTAGATTTCTATCGAGAGGAAGTAGGTCCTGGAAGAAATCATCGCAAATCTCGAGCTCGGGCGGTTTCAGAAGTTTCCGGTCAAGATTCTCAGATGCTAAGAGGAATGTTAGAACTTCCAGTTGGCGTTGCCACTTTGGCACTGACCATCTATCGTTTTGCTTCTTCTTTCTCGATCCATGTCATCCCTACGGATTATATCTTTATTGCGCGTGTTAGCTCTGAACATAATCTTGGAACTGGCTCTTGATGTCGGTAGTACCTTCTAGTATCCCAATGATTCGCCCATGATCTTCTTTGATCTCGGATAGATCTCTCTGCATACTGCAATGTCGTTGAAACTGATATATCATGAACTGAATTTCAGCTTCTTGTCTCAGGATAGCGTAATTCTCGTCAATGGTCTTGAGAATGGGCCCGAGCCTGGTGTCGAAAGGTGCGACCATCGTCTTGAAGGTTTTGACTGGTGGCGTGCGAGATTGCATCATCAGCAACTTGAATATATAATGCTTTCATCGGAAGTTATCGTACCCAAACAATTACTACGCAAGTACCGGAGACAATATGCTAGGAAATCTGCGATCGACGCGTAGATGGCCGCAGCCGCATTTGTCATTCTCTCAACTGGATAGAAAGACAACAGCAGGCTCACGAGCTCCAGCTTACTCCCTATACGTCCAAGATTGGTAACAATACCTTCCTTGACTTTTTGGTACTCGATCGGAATCATGAGCAACATCTTCATCGTTCCCCAAGCTAGACTGACCCATTCAGGATGATGTTGTGCCATTGTATCCATGACTGCAGCATAATAGAGAGTTGATTTGCAAAATTGCTGCAAGCCTGCCTGTATGTTGCTGTTGAGGCTTTTTGCGTCTTTGCTTGAAGATCTGTCCTCCTGCATAGCGTTCGCCTGAGCTAGAACATCTTGAAGCTCACAGCCGTTCTTGATTACAATCTCGCGTTTTTCATGAGTAGCCGCGATGTTGTATTCGTTTACCGCCAATCGCAGCTGTTCGAACTTGTTTCTCAGAGATGGGTTGGCGGTCACGTCAAGCGCCCACGCATCCCTGTTCATGTCAACGGTAATACTATTGGGGGTGCGAGATGATGTCGTATCTGTCCCGGTTTCTTGGACTTCCTGGAGCGTTTTCAACGACTCTATCAGCTCTGCCTCATCCATGGACTGGAATCTCTGTGGCTTAGTCTTTTCAAGAAGTTTGCTTAGTTTGCCGTCACGGAGTAGTGGTCTATAGGGTGCCTTCAGAGGCGGATGGCCCAGTCTGATCATTCGCCTCAGAGGGCCACCCCGGTCTGGGGGCTCACTGAAATCGGGTAGACTGCTGCTCATGGTTCGGTCGACATTTCTCTCTATGAGAATTCTTCGCAGTACACACTCAAAGATATTGCCTTGAAAACGGCCTTCTGGCACCGAATATGAGGGAAATTTGGGCAGCCTGGTCAATGTCTTCAAGAGAACATTGATACGGCCGTCTGAGGAAACATGCGGGCTAATCAATCATGGAGCATGCCCTCATGATCTGCATGACTACTCAGCTTGCCGTCAGTGCTGTTGGAGCGTACTGTTTGCCTACATGTACATATGCAAGACTTGGACTACCTACCTGACCTACTAAAAAAGCGCCACGTTCTGGTGCAGCAGACATATGCAACTTATGTCACAGTCGTAAATCAGGCTGACCAATGGCATTACTGTATAGTCGAAAGCGCAGGACCTCGTCTATTCCGGCAGCATGTTCCCGGAGGAAAGCAGGGAGCAATCAGATCCTGGGACTTTTTGGCGACACATGGGTGGCTTGAAAAGATTACGAGTCGTAGAACTAGAGGTGATGGAGTACGCAGCCTGATAGGGGGTCATACGATGTAAGATGCAGGATGACTGTTGCTCAAACTTGACTCAACATGCGCGCATACCACAGATAGAAAGTGCTTCAAGACATACTTCAATCGACTGGCTAAGTCACTTCCACTTGAATTTCTTTGAGGTGGTCGTAATACATTAAGTTGTGTCTGCCCAGAGCATAACGGCAGCCTCGCCTTGGAAGCGGGCATTTCAGGCAAGGTAAAGGCAGTTGTGATATAAATGAACGGCTTGCACGGCAAATTTGGCACCTACTGGTATTGACCGGAAAGTTTACTCTGGACTCCAACAACTCATTGTATGACGGACCTCCGACTTAACCCGCTGCCATGCACTCGGGATCCGACATTTTACACAACCTTGGCGAAACAAACCAGGACACATTCCGCAGTCACCGGGACCTTGCACGCAGCGAGAATGACGAGTCGCCAACTCCGTCAATTTATATGGCAACACTAGAACATGGAAACAGGAAGAAATCCGAACCTTCCGCTCCTTTGAGAGAAATCAACGAAGTATGTTCAAGTCTTGGCGCTTTCAGTGAAGTACGTATCTCACAATGACTAGTTCGGTATTGGAATCGGTCATACAACAATACGATCGTATCGGGATCGTCAGGGGCTTTTCAAGACGGATCAGCTAGCCGGCGTGCCATCGAAAGACAAGAGCTACAACGATAGAACTCAAGTACCAGAGGTCACCTTTTACCATCGTGTGGACACATTTGGAAAAGTCTGGCCAGAAAGAATAGAGGTAAATTGGTGGGAATTTGTCGATTTCCTTGAAGGCCTTGAGCCGTTTCCCCTTTCTGAAAGGGCGACAACCCGGGGGTCCGTTTTCAATCCACCGTATGTATCGCTTTTCCACCGCTTAGACGCACTCGAGAGGGAGTCAGCGACAACGCAGCCAAAGTCTACGACCGCCAACAGTACCAAAGCTTCAACACATAATCTTGGCATTACCAAGACGATCCTAGAGTTTCTCAAACCAACCTTCCATGAAACCCGATCGAGACTCGAACTCTTGAACTCAGCCGGTCCCAGTACTCTTGTCCAATATGACGATCTCTGGATGCTTTACACACCGGGCGAACCCATCTTCGTCAGGATTTCGGGGCTGGAAACCTTGTGCTACATGGTCGACTACCCGAGTGTCGCCGCGGCACCCCCGGGAATGTACCAAGGGCAGCTCCTGCTTTATTGCTGGTCAATGACATACAGTCCGCAGCTGGATGTCTTCGTCAAACAGGATCATGTCTTTAACGTGGAGCGATTCCATGGTGGAAAAGAGATCGCAAGACTGCCTTTCGTACCTGCAAGATTCATGGAGGATCTAGATGCTGTCAAGGCATTTGCAGTGTCTCGAGGTCAGAGCTACTGGGAAATGGAGACAACATCCAGATTTCAGCAGTTGGCGACATCCAAAGAACATAGTCATGATAAGGGTTCCGGGATAAGAGTCATTGTGCAGACACAGATCGACAGTGCAATGGATGAACGCCGGCCCCCACGCGTTCCATCACTCATGTTCAACCAACGCGAAGCTATTGAAGAGTGGAGCGAAAGGACTAGAAGAGGATCCGAAATCTATCAGACGACTGAGAATCGCGGAATAGGCTACGACTCTGACGACGTCCCCATGCAAACTGGATCCGAAGAAGTAGGAAATATACGGGGCAATTGGTTTCGCGACTACGACAGCATTCCGCCAACGACTAAACCGGATGAGCTGGCCATGATGCTTTGCCCTGGTATGGTCCATGCGTTCAGTCTCCGTGACAAAAGATGGGGTACGTACTTGTAAGCATCATACGCTTTGGTGTAGAACTGACTGGTATGAAGATTGGTACAATGTCGCGCACCTCAAACCCGTGCAATTTGCAGTCGATGCATGGAAACGACTGGTCCTCAAAGCGGAGTACAAAGAAGTCATCTGGGCCATGGTCAAGTCCTATCTCGCGCATAGTACCAATTTCCACGACCTTGTTGACGGGAAAGGCGAGGGCTTGGTCATTCTTCTGCATGGGCCTCCAGGCGTTGGCAAAACTTTGACCGCAGGTATGTGTTCTTACGCGGATTGATGAGGATGGGTTTTGACACAGCATCAAAAGAATGCGTAGCAGAATCCTTCAAGAAGCCTCTTTACATGGTAACGGCAGGAGATCTTGGGACAGATCCCGAGACCCTCGAGGGGAAGTTATCGAAGATCTTCGATCATGCCGTAGCGTGGGATGCCATACTGTTGCTAGACGAAGCAGACATCTTCCTGCAGGACCGAGACTACGATAATCTTCAAAGAAACGCGTTGGTATCCAGTAAGTCTCCCCTCGAATTTCAATCAAAGAAACCTCGACCAAGTTCTCACTATGAACGCAGTCTTCCTCCGAACGTTGGAATACTTCAACGGCATCATGTTCCTAACCAGCAACCGCATCGGCGCCTTCGACCAAGCCTTCCAATCCAGAATCCACATCACAATCGGCATGCCCGAATTCGACGAACCCCTCCGCAAAGAAGTCTGGAAGATCTTCATCCAAGACCTCGGTCGCAAGCGCCGCGACGGCTCACCAGCCCTTCTCTCACGGGAAGAGTGCAAGGCGCTAGGCAGCGAAGTGACCAAGTCCTGGGCTTCGCAGCCCCTCAACGGCCGTCAAATCCGCAACTGCGTCAGGAGCGCGTTGGCACTGGCGGAAGATAAGGGGGTCAAGCCGGACGCGAGCCACTTCAACAAGGTCCTCAAGCTTGGGAACGCGTTCACGCAGTACATGACCAAATTGCAAAAGGCGGAGGCCGAGGAGATTGCTCAGATAAAGGGTGATCGACTTGCGGCGATGAAGGACATCATGGCTCAAAGTGATGCTGCTTAGGTGGCAGCTGGTGATGTTGACGGTTCCGCGGTCGAAGGGGGTGTCCCTCTGCGCGGAAGGTCTTCTGAGCAGGTTTCATAGAGTCGACTACATACGAATAGTTCAGCATTGATATCATTCCAAATTCAATACAACGAAATCTACACATCGTGGTTGAGTCGGAGCTTAAAACCCCTCCAAAATTTCAATGCCATGTGTGCACGAATGCTTCGAAAGTTTTCAAGCGTCGGAACAGTAAGTGCTGAAATTACTGACGGCACAAAAGGGAAATTGTAAGGATTGTCTGAGCCATTGCAAATGGCTCTTCTACCAACTCCCTCCTTCCACATGCCTAGTTCAAGACTAGTTTGTTGAGCTTCATACTAGCCGAAAGACTCTGCGCTTCTGACGTGTATGCCAACAGAAATATGCCCTTCGCTGAAAACTTCATCCTGACCTACAGCCTTGAAGCGGAAATTGTCCAGCAAGATCTTTGGAGCTAGGAAATTGACGCGGAGTTTATATATGAACTTGGTGGCAATGAAAATGCCACACTCGGCTACAAAGGACAAGAGAGATTACTAAAGATTCTAGATGGTAAATGTTGATGTTGAGTGCTTCAGACTGTAGATAGCGCTACACGAAGTACAGATTCACTCTTGAACCACGTAAGAGCAAACTGTCATGAGCCAAGAACATTGACTGATAGTCGCCCTATTCAGCCGACGTCCAAACCTACCTGGTCTATCACAACCTGCCTCGAACAGCACAAAGTCGGATTATGCAACACGAAGACGGATCTCCAAGCTCACATAAGCAGGCAACGACTCGCTATTGTTTTATTCAATCTAAAATAATGCATTTCAGAAGCTACCAAGTCAGGTCAACTTTTCTGCAAATTAGCAATTAGCAGGAGCTGTATGCCATGAAGGATAGGTAACTGAATCAATCTAACTCTTGTCTTTCGGAACTCTTTTATCTTTAGGGTCGAGAGCACATATGTAACGCTCATTTTCCATGGACCGCTGACAGGTCAAGCCCCTGTGAAGATTGCGGTCGGCTATCTTATTCTACGTCAGTAAACCCGCCTTCAGGCTTTCTTCTAACTTCCGCTCTATTTCGAAATTACTTGTAGAAGGATGTAAGGAAAGCATGGTGAGATAGGTACCTAAATATCCAGCTGCTGTCCCTCAAAAGAGTACGTACACATGTGCTCATTAACGCCATTTGAATTCACCTCACTCATGAACTCAGTCAGCAACCCAATCATTACCAAACTGGACAGTATGGACGAGGAGTGGAGAATTCAAGACTCCCTCAAAAGGATTCACCACAAACCCGGAACTGAGTTAATGAGATAGTTATCTACTTCCTATGGCGAGATCATCTTGCCAACGCCATTGAAATAGAGTTGGCTTGACTGACTGGCATCTGGATGTGTTGCAACCCTGCCATAGCTCAGTCTCAGCTTAGGTACTTCAGCTAGGCCCTCTGACAGATAACAACAGAGACAACGACCTCCTTCGAGGGAGCTAATGCCCTCGCACACGGTAACGATTGGACAATCTCTATGGTCTCATCTTCCTTAACGACTTAGCGAGGTTACGCAACCGCTTGACATCACCCTCGGTGACAATCATTTCGTCACCCCTCATCACTAGTCCATGCTTACTGACAGGGAAGCCCGAATTGAGCAAGAGATAAGAGAGCATCGAGATTGGCCTGCGAGTGAACTCTTGCCCACCACCTCGGAGTTTGATTCAAACAAGGCGGGGTAACAGAACTTACAGGAGTTGGAGAAGATGCGGGCGCGTGAACGTTGTTGCACATGTTGCTGGCTGGTTGAGATGCTGTGCCGCGAGTTCAGGGTCCACCAGGAGCTTCACACTACCGCGGCGCGGAGCCGGACCTCCGGGAAGCGACCTGCAGTGGTAGCTTGCCAGGTGCTTTGGCGCAGCGAGCAAGCGGAAGAGGTGGCAATGAAATCTGTGGCCGGTGCTGTGTTATCTGGCAAAAGAAATGTTGGACCTTGATCAACGTAGCCATCACCAATGGAGCAAGCCTCTCATCATTAAGCTTTCTCGTGACACAACACGACGCATGGCTTATGTGGGACGGTTGCAAAATCCGGGCAGGCTGGCACAGGATGGACTTCCTGCCAAGATAAGCCAGCTGCGTGGCCAGAGAACGGTTCACGGTTGTCGTGTTGCTAGCGGGAGGGCTAATCTGGCAGGCCGGGGATCTATCTGGCCAAGGACCAAATCCGCGTGCGAAATGGGGCCGGCTGGTGCTGAGACCCGGAATTTGCGGGGAAGCAGACCAAGTCGAGCGTTGTCGAAGACGAAGACGGATGGGAATCCCAGTAACGAGTCAGGAAGGTAGCTGCGGATGTGGATAGTCTGGGGAAGTGTTGAACAGAAGGGTTGGTCAGACCAGGGTTCGGGGAGGTCAGCGGTGTTCTGGTTGGCTTGGGGAGGGATGACGGGTTCGGGAGGGGTGGGATCTAGGTAGGTAGAGCATCAATAGGTAGAAGAAAGAGGAGAGAAACGTTCCAATATGTGTAAAACAATATACCAAGTGCGATGCTAGAGTTCTTCTTCGAGTTTCGACGTGGGATAGGTACAGGCGTGCATGGACAGAGGATGTAGCGAGTCGTGAAGTTGCGTCGAAAGAAACATGTTCCCCTCTTTGCTTCGTTGCTTCGGCCACTTCATTGACTCGAGTGGCCTGGTGCGGTACATCAACGAGTTGAAGAAGACATTGTATCCGAAGGTACGGGCGTTGGATACTGTTCGCCATCCAACCAAACCCCACTGCCCACGTCCCTGTCTCCAGCGGCTGAGAGACCAGGCTGCTTCGCCAATCTCTCGTCGCTGAGATCCTGCGTGCCGCCTGAAATGCATCCTGGTCCAAGCGGCGGAGAGCAATTGGAGCAGTGTGCAAGTCGCTGACGGATGGTTTGTCTATCCGGGGCAGCACTTGCTAGGGCCCGTCTGCATGCCAAGTGGACGCTGTCAAAGATAGAAGAAGGAGGCGTCGAATTCCGGCATGTCGAGCTAAGGTAGCCTGGTTGCCAATAGTCTTCGTACAACACACCAAACGTGACCGAGGGAGGACCGGATGGTGACACGACAGCTACTCGTGTTGGTCGAAGAGACACGAGCGTAGCTAGGTAGTGTGGGTTGAGAATGTGGTCGGAAGTGGAGGGAATTGGAGATTTCGATGTGGCCGTCTTTGGCAACTTTTGCATCGGAAAGCTTCCAAAGCAGCCTAGACCTCCAGGGTCTTGGTCTTGGGTTCAGAGGAGAGTATAGGCTTTGAGCTTGTCGAGTAACAACAGGTCTGTGGTCATGGTTGGCAGTCTGAAAGAGTATGGCTCCCGCTGACAAAAGTTTGGTACTTGTACATGATGGAAAAGGATGCAGCTAGATCTTGGCCTTTCCCGTCTGGTCTGAAGTCAGAGTTCGTTTTTCGAAGCTCGAGATGTTTGAGGTGGCAGAAACATGGGCAGATGATGGTGCCTGCGGATGGGCCCATGGTGGTCAATAGACGGCCCAAAGTGGCGAGAGCAAGCATGCGATGGCACGCGAGATGGGACGTCTGTCTATTGTCCGCGTGTGTGCTTAGTGGTCCAGAAGGCAGACTGCATTGAGCTTGGTATACGCTGAGTGCAACCGTATGCGTGGTGAACTGCGGGCGAGGTGGATGAATGTCTCTGAGTCTGCAGATGCGAGTTGTGTGGGAGTCTTTGCAGTCACAGGTGTTTGGCAGTGATTGTAGTGGTGGTCCCGGTGGTGGTTCCGGTGGTGAATGGGCGTTGAAGGAGGGTGGGGTACGTACCACAGATGGTCGGTTCTGATGCAAGACTGAGGGGGGAGGGGGCAAGGGGGAGGACACGCAGGAGGAAGAGAAGATAGAAGACGTGCAAAAGATGGCAAAAAGCAAGACAGGAAATGCGGATAGGAAACGATGGGATAATTACGGCCCAATGCGTCCCCAAATGATCAGCAAACCTAACGAATTAAGTGACCGGGACAGAGACAAGTGGGAGAGACATAAGCCGTCAAACAGAGATAGAGAAACAGAGACCCGGAGAACATGAAGAGGACCCCTTCTTTCCCATGTTGAGTCCTTGCTAAAATCCTTCCATCTGCAGCCCAGCTCCTTCCTCCCATCTGTGTGGATGGTACAGGGTACGAAGAGTGGGAGAGTACGAACGACCGGCGTGACTTCCACAGCAGTCAGAGACAGGTGCAACTCGCAAGTGCAATGGAAGTCAAAAGTGCAAGCGCAGGTGCAGGTGAGAGTCAAACGTCCCGTCGCTCTTTCCCACCTTTGGCGGCTGGTTTGATTACCCCGCAAATCATTCGATTGGGTGACGTCGACAAGCGGGGGTCTGGCTGGTTCAGAGTCTAGTGGCTGCACGCGCTAGTCCAGCACGTCTAGCACTAATGTCTGCGCTAAGGCGGGTACGTACCGCGCAATGCCGCCAAAGTGTCTTTGCTGGAAGCAACGCTGAGGCCATGCCTTCCGTGATTGGGTGGTGTGTCTATGAGCTTGCGCTGGGTGGGCAGCCGGGGTCGTGGTATCGTGGATGAGGAAGGCCCTGAGGGTGTGGGAGCTGCCGTAGCCTCCGCGCCAACCTTCCATGCTGAACTTGGCATTTTGGGTCTTCCAGGCCATTTCTGGCTCCAAAGGTTCGTGGTGGCTCCTTCCCTCCACGATTCCACCATTATCCAGTCAACCAGTGCAGGTCAGAGGTGCAGGCAGGTGCAGGTGCCGTTGGTTTTGCAAGGGCAAGGAAGAGTACGAATGGCAGGAACGAGAGCGAGGGCGAGAGAAGGAACGAATAGACAGGCAGGAGCAGATGCCACAGTAGAAGGACCAAGTGGTAAACTGCGTTCCTTCCACGGGTCCATCAAACAAGCCTCCTCTGGTCTCCAGTCTTCTCAGTGCCATTCAACTTGGCAGACGCACACTTGAACCCTTCTCCATCAACATCACGATCTCTGCGTTGACATCGAACCTCTTTCATCTGCCTGTCTGCCCTCCTTTACCTTTCTACGGAACTACGGATACGACACGACTGCAATACATCAGCAAACCATCAGAAATCCACTTCTATCCACACAGAGCCATAAAACACATTCATCGCGGCATCACAGAGATAGCAGCTTGTGTGCTTGTCAAGCATTCCAGCCCGGCGACTGGCCAACCCTAGGCCCCTATCTAAGATCCAGTTTGGAACCCAAGAAGCTATTATCGGCCTCTCAAACGCACGCCGACCGACCGACCGACCGACCATCCGACACCGCATTCGCCTCTTCCCCACACGCACCGCCATCCCACCATCATTTGCCTGTCCTGGCTGAGCAAGCAGATCCACGCCATCCGCTCAACAACCAGCGACCGCCGACCAGCCAGCAGCCCGCCCCCGGCACCAAAGCACCTCTACACTAGCACACACGCACGCAAGCACACACCACCGTTTCACCCAAACCACTACAGAACAGTGAGAACAACCAGCCATCCCCCTCCTCACAACTCTCTCTCTAGCCCGTTTACTCTGCCAATCTGGCCCTCCCTGCCCCTCTCCCCCTGCTACCTGGCCCGACCTAGGGTGCTGCCACTGATCCAAGACCTGCCCCCTAAGCTTCGACGTCACTCAATTTAGAGCTTCAACCCGCTTTGCTGCTTGTGCAGGAAGCACCGCTTAGAGGGGACGCTTCCCTCGTCGATCCCCCAGCACAAACGCACAAACGAAGCACAAAGACGAATAAGTCTCTCTTTCTGACTCTCGCTAGGCCAGCAAACCCCTTGATCGACACCTTTCCACGGCGCACTGCAGAGGTACGCTCATCCCATCCCTGGCTCTTCCCTTGTGATCAACCTTTTGTAACCCGCCCCTAGTGTCACCCCAAATCAGTCCATCGGCCACCTCGATATATAACCACCCTGTTCCACACATCCGAACCTGTCGAACGATTTCCCGTTCGATCCCTCTTTCGATTCTTTCTAGATCTCACCCCACGCAAGACGCACCTCCGAAACACAACTTGGACTACCCTCTGACTACCTAAACGCATACAACAACTCGACGCACGACATACCGATATCCCCGACTACATATACTACAGCCCCCAATTCGTTCCTTACCATCTCTTTTGCCCATCATGTCCAACGACAATTCCAACTCCAACCAGAACACTCAGAACAACCCGAACGAAATGCATCGCCAGAGACGTGGATCAGTCACTCAGCAGGCTATCGCCGGTCTCTTTAGAAGTAACTCTACCTCCAACGGCGGTGCATTCCCTGGTACCAGCGACGCTCAGAGACGGAGACTCTCCGTCACCACCGGTCTCGGTCTTACCGGCACTTCGCCCACTGGTGCTAGTGCTTTCAACTCTCTCCGACGGGGAAGTCTTTCGACTAACTCCAACGACTCCATCGATGAGAATGCAATCGACGAGGAGGAGATTCCCCCCAACGCCCGCACAGCACCTGCCACTCCCTTCACCCGCAGAATGAGCTTCGGAGCTCAGGCAATGCGCACCATGCGCAATGGCGGTGGAAGTCCGGGTTCAAACGGTAATGATTTACCCTCTGCTTCTGCCACTCCCGTGCCTAGCACTCCTGCCGCCCTCGACAGACGTGGCAGTATGCACTCTCCACGAGGTGTTGGTTCGGTCGCGAGTTCCACGCCACCGGCCAATACCTCGTCCATCGCTGCTGCTCTGTCGTCGGCCAGGCGTCGATCTAGCAGCACTGTACAGGCAAGCATTGCACACAAGCAAAGATCATCTTCTGACGTGTTCTCTCGCCCAGACCAAGGTTTCAACTGGTCCGAGCAGCTTAGATCTCGCGCCGAGAGCTCTGTTCAGGGACCACGAGCGTCCTTTTCTTTTGGCTCTGGTCTTTCATCTTCTCCTCCTCGCGGCCCCGGCAATGGTGTCGCCCACGATCGTCAGAAATCAGTCTCCGAAATGCCTGCTCCCCCCGCTCAGGCGGCTGCTATGAAGCCCAAGGCTCCCGAGCGACCTAAGCCGGATGCCTTCCAGGAACGCATTCTCAAGGGCGATTTCTACATGGACTGAAAAGCCCATTCAGGAACGGCTACTACGACTGATGTTGACCATCCTGCCATCGTAATAAGCCCCGTCAGAGATGGCATTTCACTACAAGAATATGATTTTCGCCACACGAAAAACGAGAAAAAGATCATCAAGCGTTTCACAGATTCTGAGCGTCCTTCATCCTTGTCTGTTTTTTTAAGCTGGGGAACACTTTCATCGGCTCAACCCCACGTGGCGTTCGGTTGGTTGTGATGCAGCCCGGTTGCGGCTGCACACTGAGCGGGGAAGCTCCATACCACATGCACATGAGACCGTTGTCTCACATTTGATCACGGAAGCGGAATGCAACTGCAATTTCACGAGGAGTTTACAAACGGCATGGGGAATATGGAGGAGGACGATCGCAAATTGCAAGATTTCGGGTTCCAAAACAAAATTGGTCCGGGAAAGAACATGCCTGGCTATTGCTTGCGGCCCATCAGAGAATGTTGATGGTGTCAAGATCTCGACATGGATTCATGTCTGGCGTACGGAGAGGGAGACAGGCTTCGGTATCGTTACATCGCTGGCTGTCACGCGGCGAAAGCTTTGGGTTGGAGAACGGGCTTGTACCGACGGCCGGGCAGATTGAAAGTGGGTGGAAGCATGGACTTTGCGTTTTACCAGGCGGCCGCGATGGGTACAGAGTTCACAACAGGCCGGACTTGGAAGAGGGGTTAAGTTGCGGGCACATAGCCCGGTCGAGAGGCGGATGAACGGCCGGCGACGAACGCCGAGCTTAGCTACTACGAGAAACACGCTCGGACCCGAATTCAAAGTTTCGCGGTCCCTACCCAAAATCTTGATGTTATCATTCAGTGAGACCTTACCTAGCATGGCCAAATACGAGGGGTGAGTGATAATATGTAATGCGAATGTGTGTCTTTCGGGTCGCGGCAAGCAAACTTGTTAGACACGGGTGGTAAGCAGCCAAGGCATCCCCGAAAGACACAGCGTGGGATTAAACTGGGCCTCCATTCCGGATGGTCGGTATCTCGTTCCCATTCGCCGGAGACCAGGCTTGCAAGGTCTCACTAGCGGGCGGCGAATTCGCACGTAGGCACCGTAGGGCAGCAGCAGGTGAACTCGGGGGAGGCGGGTTGGTTCCACGGAGGCTTCTGTCATCACATTCCCCCACGTGAAGCCGTGGTTGGCAGTCCACCGCAGGTCCCGTCCTATCCGGGGGTGACGGAGAGTCATCATCAACCAAACGCATTCCATTTGTAAGTCAAGGCCGGGTGTAGCTAGCATGTGAATATGGAGGTAGATAATGAGTACGGTGGTCAATGTTGTGTTGTGTGAATGATGATTGAGAGAAAATCTATCCTTTTTGTTCGCCTGTCCAAGCATCTTTTCATCGTACATAGGTATCTCGTATAAATGACACATGCCAAAAAAATAAAATAAAAAATAACACAACGACATTGCTGAGATGGGTGATGGGGTTTCGTGGGAGTGTGGAATCGGATGGTTTGCGAGAGCACAACTCAATTCCACTCACGAGCTTCCCAAAACTCACTTGTGCTGTACGGAGTGACCCTCGACTCCAATTCCTGTTTGTTTCCCTCCACCCGTCCCCTCAGGACACTGCTTTTCGCCTTTCAAGAGGGATGGATGGATGAAGATGGGTTCTGCAGCTTCGTCTCTTGTCCAGAGCAGAGCAAAGGGTATTCCTGCTCCCCAATTTTCCTCCTCTTGTGCCTGACTTGTTCCAAAACGGACCCCTGGGGAATGTCAGAAAGGTTAACCTTCCCATCTTTCCCCCCTGGCGGAGCATCCTCTGTTCCAACATTCCCTCTGCTCCTCATTCCTTCCCCAGATTCCCCCGGATCCGTCCTCGGCCGTAACTAAGATTCCGGCCTTCTCGTAGTATGGCAGTTTCATGTAGATGAAGGTTGGTATTCAATAAACGAGTCGACATCCGTTGGTCGGGCTTCTTTGTGGGATGTTTCGGCTCCGAGTTTGTCTGCTTTATTTTCCCAAGTCCGAGCAGGTCTGGAAGCGTCGCTGGAAAGCTTAGCCAGAAAGGATGTGGGTCGCTCGACGGTGGTATCGTGGTTTCTGGCATCGCTTTCGGAGTGCTCCGTAAACGAGTAAACCTTCCTGTTCCCCTTCTTGTTGGAGAGTTAGGGTGAGGATGAGACGGGGTCTGGAAGTAAAGCCCGGAGGTCGGGCGTAGGCGATAGCCGTATAAGCGAAATCTGACGTCCGACCCAAGGTATCTCCATTACCCCGGCTGGATAGGCAAAGCCTGTCCGCCAGGTTCATCCCATACCCCGAGCGTGAATGAACGCCGTCACTTCCGCCGTGTATACGCGCATGAAGCAGTTGGTCATCGGAGCGGCCTTTTGCCTGGAGGTATGTTCCCGTGATTCGACACCATTCCCGGTGTTTTCATTCACATGGGAAACATGGGCGGGCCAGACCCACCAGGCATCCCCTCGAAAATCTCCCCGAGCCCGCTCATCCCGCTCAACCACGGGTCCTGCGCCATGACATACCGCATCCCATTGCTCAAGCTCCCCGGACTCGTGCCGAACCCCGTGGTGATCTCCTCGAGAGATAAATCGTTCGTGAAGCCCGGATCGAGTCCGAAATCTTGTAAATCGTTTGTCCAGACAGGATTCAGCCACGGGGCCACTGAATTCGGCCCAGGCCCCGCTCCCGCCCCGGCTCCGCTTCCATCGCCGGGACCTGCAACCGTCGTCGCCGCCGTACCGCTCGACGCCGCCGTCCCCGGCCCGGACCCAGGTCCGTCCATCGGGGTAGGTGTGACGGCGCTGGGGTCGTAGAGGAAAGATTGGCGTGACGGGGGCGGGTTCCAGAGGATATTGTTCGTCGCGCCGCCGCCACCACCACCGCCGCCGCCGGAACGATCATTTTGCGTAGCGATTTCTGACAGCAGGTGAAGAGGCGTGTTGGCGGCGGGGTACTCCTGCATCGGCGGGTGCTGTTGCCCCGCATACACCCGTTGCTGCGCCTGGTGCTGCTGCTCTTCGGCGGCAGTAGAAGCAGGCGTCGCCTCCGGCCGACGGGAAGACGACTGCGCAGCAGCAGATGCCGGCGTCTCGGGCTGCGAATTCGAGGTCTTGAACCCAGCAGCAGCAGCTTCCGGCACGGGAACACCCATCGCAAGCCCCTTACTCTGCTTCAAGAACCAACTCCTCAACATTACCAACACAATCAGGAACTTGGCCGCAGGCCGACTCCGATCATCTGACGCGGCAGCGCGGAACTTCTCCAGCAGCGCGTCGAGGTAGTACTCCACCTTCATGTTATCCTTGTCAATCACCCGTCCCAGCTCGGAGCCGGGCGCCGTGGCGGAAAAGTACATTTTGATGAGGACCACGACGGCGTAGGCCACGCGCACAAAGTTGAAGACGGGCAGGCAGCGGATGCTGGGCACTTCCATTGCCAGGAATGCCTCGAATATGCCGTCAATGGCTGAGAGGCAGGCGGACAGGGCGTTGATGTGCGAGGTTGTCAGGGTCAAGTTGGTGAGCATGCCGTCTTTGAGGGTTGCTGTGTCAAAGGGCGGGCGAATGTCGTCCATTTGGGTGTGGAGAGCGATTTCGTGCATGTACAGCGAGAGGACGTGGAAGGACATTTTGAGGGTTGCTTCATCAATAGTCGTCAGTCACATGCCTTTCGTACAACCTTCGTGAGTATAAAGAGACGGGGGTAATAACTCACATTGCATTTCCTCCTTGGGAACGGAAGCACTATACTTCTCCAAGTCCCTCTCCAGCATCCTCAGCGAATACTGCGTCCTCGAATCCGTAATATTCGGCACCACAGCCGGGTCGTCCATGGAGAACTGTATCCCCACCTCCTCGGCAAGCCGATGCGTCCACACGAGGTGACAGAAATACTTATCCGACGGCGCCGCGTCCGCGCTCGTCTGCAGCGCCTCCATCGACTCCGCCATGAAACTCGTCCACCGCACTAGGTTCGGCCGGTGCAGCGCCATGGAGGTGTTGGCGGCCAGGAAGTACGCGGCCAGCCACGCCCGCCGGCACTCGCTCGTCGTCGGGTCCGGAGGCGGCGCCCTCTTGAACGGGTGGTTGCGCCACTGGTACGGGATCTGCATCTTCCTGCCCGCCGTGCGCCGTCCCAGCCCGATATCCAGCGCCATCACGGCGCCAATGTGCACGAGCTGGTAAAACTTGAGCTCCTCAAAGTGCTCTGGCGGCCAGTACCATATCACAGCCACCTGCAGCGCCTGCACAATCTCCAAACTCTTCTCGCCCGTGATGATAATCTTCTCGGCGAAAATCTGCATCAGCTCCTTGACCAGCCTCCGCTGCACGTTGGGGCTCTCGGAGCTCGACGCCGCCATGATGGCCAGGAACAGCAGCGGCTTCGCCCGCCTCGTCTCCTCCGCCGTCGCGCCGCGCGGGAACACCACCGCCGGCATGTGCGGCGCCATGAGCGTGTTGTACCGCTCAAACAGCTCCGCCGCTTTCTCCGCGCTCAGGATCCCGCGCTCCACGACGTCGGCGTAGTCGCTGCCCATGTGGATCGGCGGCGCCGGCCTGGCCCCGATTTGTCCGCCTTCCGGTATGTCGCTGCCGCTCGGCGTATCGTCCCCGCGATCCGAGTGTTTCCTCTTTTGCCCTGCTGCGGCTGAGGGCGGCGCCGGGAAGGTAATGTGGTCGAACCGCCCCTTCTCCGCCGCGTGCGCCTCCTGCGGGTCGAGCCCTTCCACAGACAACCCCGTTCCCGCAACTGTACTTGAGGTCCACTCCCTCGCAAGACCGTGACCTCCCCAACCCTTGTTATACGGATTCTCGTCTCTACCCGGCGTGGGCAAGGCAGTATGCGCACTCGTCGTCACTGCGGGTGCTGCGCCAGGCGCCGCGGAGCTTCCGCGGGCCTGTAAGCTCGCCGTCAACGCATCAATCTTCTTTTCCAGCTCCGCGACCCTCGAGTCCGTCTTCCTCTGCCTCTTGCGCGTCGGCATCGTCACGACGCAGTTCCTCCCTGCCTTCTTGCACCGCTTACACGGGCCCTCGGTATCGTTCGGATCGGGTTCGCATCGCACCTTGAGACCCCGGCACGCCTCACATGCGCGGGGCCGCTTGGGGTCGTCGGGGTTCCCGCCGTGGATCGCATCGTGCTGCGGCGTCTCGCCGTCGTGGCCCGAGTGAGGCGTCTCGGGGGAGTCGGGGTGTTGCTGGTGGTGATGGTGTCCCTGGCTCTGGCCCTCGGAGCTTGCTCCAGCAGCGGCGGCTGCGGCTTCGTCGTCGTGGTAGGCGCCGGCAGCGCCTTGAGGGGTCCCGCTCATACCATTGCTGCCATTGTTAGAGGGCTCCGCGCTTCGTAGTGCTGGGTCGAGAACTGCGGCGCCGTGATCCATTTCGGTAGGAGCTTGGCGAGGTGCAGTGCTGAAAGCCAATATCGGATGATCGGTGACGGCGACAGAAAATACCGACCTTTGTTTGGCGGAGGGCGCGGAGAGTTGTGGCCGACGGCTGTGCGCCGACCTTTCCGTCACTAACAAATATTAGTCAGCGGCGAGGGCAGCAAGTATCGAGTCGAATGACATTCAATAGTGCACTCATATACCCGTCTCTACTTCGCAGCAGATCAATTCGTAGTTGTCACCCCTCAAAGTGTGAACATTGTTCATATAGAATTTTCCGCTTTTTAAGCTAAACTAGATATATAAAATGCCAAAGCCATACCTTCGCTGCATGCGATCCCGGAAACCATGAGACGAGGTGCCACTCGCAGCTCATCACCGTCAACGCCATGCTGAGATCTGTGAAACAAAGCAAGCATAAGCCACCAAACACCACATGGGTGACAGCGGCACCCTGAACAGCAGTGTTTCCTGTGTCCACATGATACAAATGTTATCCCTCGGACTTGTTGGATGTTCCACTTTGCCATCAGGCGCTCCATGTCCAGCTCACTCCTACTTCGGCTCGCGAATATGAAACAATGGACAATTCAAAGAGGCTTGAGATTTGTAGGTGATGATCGGTATTAGATAGAAGTGGAGCGCTCGGCGCCGGTCCGGATTGATGTGATATGTTCGGGTATATTGGCGCCATCATGTCGTCCATGCCTCTTGGGCTGGCATTAAGAAATAAAACGTGAAGAAAAATATGCAAGGCATGGTATCAACGCTGCGTGTGAACGAGTGGGTATGTTTGCGTAATGAGGGAGTGAAAGTGAGGCCTAGAGCAACCAGACTCACGAGAGACGATGTAAGGCATCTCAGAACTGGGTCTCTTCTCGCAATCGACTCTTGGAACTTTGTGGGTTGAGGCCGACCACGTTACCCATGAAGATGGCGCTTTCGCGTCTCTTATGTTGGTCGTATCCTGAGGAACCATTGTCGTAGCCGCGAGCCATTTGCTGGTAATTGTTGTTCTGGTATCCTGATGGCATGTACTGAGGCTCATATGTTGTGCCACGGCCGACAGGATAATTTGGTGGCGGTGTGGGAGATTGCCGAGCGCTCTGCAGGTCCTGGAGCAGAGGAGGGGGAGTGTTCCCGGTGCGTTGCTGGCCAGTCATGGCATCCATTAGTCTCTGGCGATGCGGTGATTGACTGGACCCCGCTGATGTGGAAGGACGCGCATGTTGGGAAGGGTCGTAAGAAGGCCGGTTCGGAAGCCCATTGTTCATCGAGGGCAGGGAGCCTGATCTTTCTCGACCCGTCTCTCCTTCGGCGAATGAAGACGGCAGCTCATACTGCTCGGGCTCCAAGCCGAAGATGCCAAAGTAGTTTTGCAACAGCAGGGCAAATACCGGTGCCGGGATGTTCAGAGTTGGAGAAAATACGATGCCGACGTTGCGGACCGTCATCTTGTTCATGTCTGCGTTGTTGATAATCTTGATCAAAAACGCAATCAGATACTTGAGTAGAGTGGCGTTTGCTTGGGGTAGCCTTTGAACCAATTCAGACACAGCGGCGATTTTGTCTCTTTGGTCGGTCATCTCCGTCACCGAGAGGAACTCGAGGTGGAGGTCCCGGGTGAGTATTGTTGTCGGAAGTTCACGGAGATACAACTTCAAAAGTGACGCCACAGCATGAATGTCGTAGTAAGTCTCGTCGGTAACCAGGTTGACATCGCCCTCTGTGTTGAAGCGCTCACGAAGCTGCTTGATAACGACGTTTGAGCCGCTCAGGCGGAAAATGCCTTCCTCCAGAATTGCGTTCTTGGCGTCCAAGTATTGAATGCATCGATACACGACGGCGGGGAGAGGCACGTTCACGTCAACAGGGTGGTTGTAGCGAACGGCTTCGGCCAAAGGAGCCCCAAAGGCTTGGCGAATGGGTCCCTGGTATCCGCCCTGGGGAGGTGTTGAGGAGCCGCCTTCGCTTCCACCAAACAGAGAATCCTGGCCGTCAGATGATGATCTCGTCTTGGGGCCAAACCCGAAAAAGCTTCGCTTTTTCAGCTTCTTCTCCTCGTTGACGGGAACGCCAAGTCCTGCTCTATTTCCCCACTGCGCAGAGTCGGCAATGACTTGCATATCCCGTGGGGCAGAGATCATCATGGATGGCTGCGAAGACATTCCCATGGGTTCAACAGGGTGGCTGTTCTCTGGCATGTGTCCAGGATTTTTGGGGCGCGCAGGTCCGCCATGGTGGGGAAGGTCGCCTTGAGATGTCGCATCGTATCTCACGCCTATGAGGCTGTCGGACTCAGTGGGCTGATGGTGGTGCTGGGAAGCGGTCTTCTTGTATCGCTGCTTCTTCTTTTCGGCACGCTCAGCTGCGCTAGCATGCTGGCGATCTTGAGTCTGCTGCTTCGCGGCATGGGCCTCATCTTCTTCCGGATCCTTATAATCAATCCACCTAAGTAAAGCGTCGACCCACTGGTCTCTTTCCCTGTCATTCTCGGCACAGAGAACGTGCTTCACATGGCTGGTAGAATCTTTCTTCTTTGGCTCAAGAATCAGGAAGGCATGGCGGTACTGGTTGTCCATGTCATCTGAGTTGGCAGACGGTTGCGGTGACTGATTTTCGTTGCTCTGGGACTGTTTGCCGATCTGAGAGCTGGGAAGCTTGATGGTGCCCAAGTGAGCGCCTCCGGGCGTTTCGTAATACTTGAGATGCGGTCCATCGAGGACAAAGAAGCGGGCTTTCCAGCCACCAAAGTTCTTGCCTCGCTTGGTGAGATATCCGGTTCTGAATGGGCGACCGCCAGGACCAGTCTTAACCTTGGCTTCCGCCATGCTCTCCATCGAGCCGGCGTCGTCTGCGTTTGGTGGCAACGTGTGAGTGGACAGATACTTGCAGAGCTCAAGAGCACTAGCGGTATCCAAAGGAGTCTCCAGAAGCTCTTCCAGGTAGTGGTTGAGAGCGATTCGCCGCGCGTCGAGCTTAGCAGGCGCGTGGCCACTGAAGAGCGACCTCTCTGGGGTCTTCGCAGTGAAGGCTGAACACTGTTTCAACCTTTGGTCGAGCTTTGCGAGCGAAGCAGAGTCCTTCTCAACCCGCCAAAGCTCGCCCGGTTCGGAACGGGAGAAAATGGCAAGGGTAAACACCGGATCCTCTTCCAGTTGTGTCAAAGACATCAAACTTGCCCGAGATGGTTTCATGCGCGAGGACGCAACCTTCACCTTAATATTCGGCAAGACGTTTGGTGGCAGGAGCAGATCGGGGTATTCCTCAGTGGTGAATCCCTTGAAGATGCGACCACGCTCGGTCGGACTGCCACGGCTCTTCTCGCTGGCTGAATCCCATCCCTTCTTGACAATGTTCAGAGGTTGAGGGCTCTTGAGAACCATAGGCTCTGGGCCGGACGGTGTTTGGAGAGAGTGGCCCGGTGGGAGAGGAATCGGCTGGCGAGGTGGCCGTGGCGACAGGGGCGCGGCAGGAAATGAAGAAACACTGGGCGCAGGGCTATCAGATGATGACAGACCGCCCATGGGACGCGGGCTTGATGGTAGCCCGGGGCTCAGCAAGGGAGCTTCGAGAGTGGTTGCATTCAGAACTGAGCCTAGAGAAGCTGGGATGTTCTCACGCTGCATCCTCTTCGGGGGGCTTGGTGGCAAGCCCGTTGGGGCCTCAGGAATGCCCTCAGTCGGTGAGGTAGTCTGACTCTGCGTTGCGCTCTTCTTGGATAAGCTCCTCCTCTCCGCCTCTTGAATGGCCAAGATCTCCCGGTCCTGGTCGTCCTCTTCACGTGTTCTACGGCGACCGCGTTGCTCAGTGAGGATTTCGTCCACCTCTAGAATGTCGTCGAAGTCGGAGTCAGAGTCATCGTCCTCAGCAGCTGGTTGAGATTGGCTCTGGAGCTGCAGAGGAGCCGGGGGAGGTTTCCGCGGTGGTGGGGCAGGAAACTGCGAAATGCCCTCGCTGGCTGCCGATGCTGGCTCTGATACTCCAGGAGGCTTAGGGGGAGGCATGCTTGGCGGCTGGCTCGGTAGGCTTCGGGATGGCGGAAGACCGAAATTCAGGGGAAGGTCCATGATTTGCTCGTCCTCATGCTCCCTCCGTGCCGCTTCTGCTGCTTGTTCCTCGGCATCATGGTTGTACTGATCGTAAGCGTGCTCATGTGCTTTGGGCATCTCGTGAGATGGGTCTAGTAGAGCACCAACTGCTGATGGAGGGCCGTTGGGCTGGTCTGCAGGAGGTGTAATCGGGTAGGGGGCCATGGCCATATCCACGGGTGAGTGCTTCTGGCTGTCGGAGTCTAGAGTTGGCGAGTCCGGTGCAACGACTTGTCGCTCCTTGGGAGCGCTGACGTCGACTGTCGGTATTCCTCTACTAACGGGCATCTTGAGGACCTTGCTGCTAGTTTTCGATCCGTCTGCGCCTGTCAATTCCGGTATTGACATTACTTCTTTCAATTTCTTTCGATACTTCTCCTTGTCTTTCAAGGCCCGTTCCAAGTCTTTGTTGAGGCCCAAAATCATGGCCCTCTGCTTGTCGACCAAGCGCCATAACTGCGCGTTCTGTTGCGATTGCGAGTTCTTCTCTTTCAACAGGTACTGGATCACCGCTTCCGGGCTGCCTGCAGTCTTGATCAATCCCTCAATGTCTGTGGGATCAGACTGACTACCAGCTGCGCCTCTGTGCGGCTGTGACTTTGTGGAGATGGCTGAAATAGCAGAGTCCATGGAGGAGTTCCGCGGCGCTCCTTTGCTCTGTTTGCCCCGCGATGCAGCGGCCAATCCTCCGGAAGAAGACATTGGAGATCGGAGGGGGCCTGCGAGAGGCCTAGATATCAAAACAGGTTCGGAAGCGCTTCGGTTATCATTCGTAGGGAGCGGTGATATTCTCGGTCTACTGTGACTGTTTCGTCTGTCAGCTGTGTAACGTATGGCGACGCGGGGAGCAACTAGAGATGGTCGAATCGGGAGGAGGCTACGAGACGCACACGTACCGTAGTGTGCTGCGTTCGGGCGTGGATGAGCAGGACGAATCGCTTTGGTAATATGTCTGCGGTTCTCCCGAAAGATCTACTGGAGAGCGGAAGTCGTCGGTTGGCGTCGTGACTATGTCTGGGACAGTTCGAGACCGGTGGGTATGAAATCTTGCCCCGGGTGGGAAGAAAGATGACGATCGAGGAGAGAAAGGGCTCGTCGGCGAAGAAATGGCGGTACTCTCGTGGAGGGGACTAGGTATCGGGCGCCGAGGGGATCTATAGGGTGGAGGAGGGCATCAGTCAATATGCTGCCAGGCCAGAGCCGTGGATCCAAGTCCCACAATATAGCAGGAAAGATGGTAAGGCAGCTAGAGAGTCGGCGTTGAGCGAAAAGTCAAAATTAAAAAGAGTCGCGGGCCGCCAAGACAAGCACACGATATCCTCGCAGACCGGGGATCGAGGTAGAAAGAAGAAGTTGCGTTCTCTTTCTCTCCCTCTACGGTCGGGGTTCGGTGGTGGGCGTAGGCGTAGGTAGACAAGCGAGCGAGTCGCAGGACTGTTTATCTGGAGGGCGTGGAAAAGTCAAGGCAAGGTGGTAGGGTCAAGGAGGAGAAAGAAGCAGCAACAGCAGCGGCAGCAGCAGCAAGAAAAAGCAAGGCACAGAGAGAGACAGAGAGAATGGGAAGCAGACAGGCAAACCAGAGCGAAGCAGAGCAGAGCAAAGAGTGGACCGTTACTCGTTTGGTAATCAGAGCCAGTGGAGGCCCAGTGGAACGTACCTTGGAGATGGAGTAAGAAGAGGGCTGGTCGCACTGCTAGGAGTGTGACTGGCAGCGGTAGCGGCAGCGATGCTTGTATTGGCGGTGGTGGTGCTGTTGTTGCTAATGCTTGCAGGATCGGATGCTGGGATCAAGAGGCCTGTCGTGGGGCCATCCTTGGAAGAAGGGGAGTAAGAGGAGACGTCTGCGACCTGCAGCCGGTGAAGAGGATGTTTTTGGTGAGGGAGGCGAGGGTGATGATGAGCAACGGGGACGATAGCAGAACGACGTGGAGCAGCATCAGCAGCAGCAAAAGCAACGGCCGAAGCAGAAGCAGAAGCGGCTGCGTCAACAGGAAGTCCAGACGAGGAAGTCGTACCAGAAGCATCAGGATCTGAAGTTGAGCCCTGGGCACTCTGAGTCTGGAGCGCAAGCTGCGACATGGTGGGCAATGCGACGGAAAGACAACTGGCCGGCGGCCCAACTAGGGGTGTGTGCAGGGTCAGAGCTTAACGCAGGACAACCTCGCAGCGGTTTCGAGATGCCTGGGTAACCCCGACTGCCGTTGCATGTAAACCGGCCTCTTTCTAGACGGGATGCAGATTGCAGTGTAGGTATTTTATTTTTGTTTCTCGGGAGCGAGCGAATACAGCCGGGAAGGGATGCGGACGGAGAGCGGAGCCGAGGGGCAAGTCGTTCAAGGAACTAGTCGAAGCAGACCAGAGTCGACTCTGATCTGTTCTGCTGCAAGTAGGTAGCCAGTCGAACAGGCAGATTTTTGGCTCTGCTGGGTTGGGTTTTGAGAGTTGAGGTTGTCGTCACGGGTTGCTGTAGTATTGCAGGGCGAGCAGGACGTAAGACGAGGATGTGGAAGGACGAAGAAGAGGTTGTATCTTGGACGCGGGCCAGAGCAGAGCACAGTAGATCAGATGAATGGCGTCCTTCGGGTCCCAAGGGAGGGATGGGAGGCCCGTCTCGCGGTGCCGGATATGCTTTGTGAAAGGAATGCTGCCAGCCGGGCGTGGATGAGACAAGTGCCCGTTGTCTTGTGTAGGCGTGCGCGTGTGCGTGTATGTATGTGTGTGGTGTTGTGACGGGGGGGATGCTGGACGAGAGGACCATTGGCTGGCACAGACACAGAGTGACAGAGAGAGCGCGAGAGAAGCAACTCGGCTATGGACGGTTTGGCATCCGTGAGGTGAGGCCGAAAGCAAAGAGACGGGAGGATGTGGCCGTTGGGGTGGCCGAAGTGTAGGTTTTCCGATGAACAATGCAGTGCAATGCAACGCGAATGATGGTGGGCTAGGCCGGACAGACCAGCTTCAGAGTCGACCAGCGTTGGGGGGGAAAGGATTTGATGTTGTGGTGGTGTTGTGGTGTTTTGATCAAAGAAACCCCTTATTTCCCGTCTTGCCGCTTCCAGCAACTAGCAAAGGGAGGCTGATCTATGGTACTGTTCGTGGCAGAGGAGGGTAGCATTCGAGTCGCCCGTCAATAAGACTAGTGGGGAGCCTAGAAGTCTGGATAAGAAGATCAGAATATCATCTGTATAGCAGTAGTCCATTCAAGCAGTCGAGCGTGTCTGTCGCCAAACATCCATTCCATAGGTAATCATTCAGGGCAGGTCGGCAGCGGCATTCGCAACCGGAGCTTAACAAGAGGGGGAGACGGGGGGAGAGGAACGTACATCTGAAGGTTAAACAGGGTGCCGGGGAATAAGTGACCGGCCGATGGTGGTGGTGGTGGTGGTGGTGGTGGTGGTAGTGGTACCTAGTACCTTGAAGCGTGAGTAATGGAGGTATTTTTGCACCACAGATATCGCGACAAGGTACTTCAAAGCCACAGGGGCCAATGACCACCAGAGAGTTGTGGCAGCAGGATGCGTGGGCTTGTCCCCTGTTGTTGCTGCTGCTGTACATACGTCCCTGGTCGTGTGGGTGGGTTCGTGGTTCTTGGAGTCTGCATCTGCCGCTGCAAGGTGTGGCCAAAAAGGGAAGGATGCTGTTGGGATATGGAATATGTAGTCTGTCCTCCGTGATAACCATACGCTGGTAGGTCTCCTGAGGGCCTTCGAAGTTCCGTCCGTTCAGGGGCCGACTCGGGGAAGAGGAGCGAGGATGAGAACGTCGGAGAGAATGCGAGCGAGGCGACACGTAGTATAGACGTGGACGTGGAGAGGAGATGAAGAGGAGGAGGTAGAAGAGATTGGATTGACAGTGACCACCGGCAAGCCGCAAAAGAAATGCGATGCACCATCAGCATTGACCTCTGGGGTTCATTTTGCATCTCGTTGTTGGTCATCCGGATGATGGATCCCTCCCTTCCATCGTCCCCTCCCTCGAGGCTCCGTGGTACCGTGGCTCCTCAACCTTTAACGTGCTAGCTAGCATCGGAGCAATTGCTGTATCCTCCCCGATAGTTGTATCCCTTTGGAGCCTTTGGCCCCCACGGTGGGCGGGAATGACGGTGTTCCATACACGTGCCACTATCATTTCGAAGCGATACTTGGTGCGGGGGCCTCGAGGACACACTGCGTAGAGTAATGCTACAGCAAGACAGTCTGGTAGCGAAGGAAGTATTCGTCTGTTAACCCTGTCAGCCATTGCCTCTAGTTCACATACTAAGGGTGATTTGGTCAGTTAGTGTTGGACTCTTAAGGTTGTGAGAAACGTCTTCATCTCCCAGGGCAGCCGGTCTGCCGCTGGTGTGTCAATGGCGAAACCGTCATCCTAGATTTGTTGTTTGTCGTCCATGGTCTTACCGCCATGATGATTTTGATGGCGCTCTGGACCCTCAGTAAATTAAGTCGTAAACAAAGGGACTGTTCATACGTACCTAGTTTGCTGGTTTTTCTTTTGCGGGTGAGAAACAGACTGAGGTTTGCTCAAGTCACCGGCATGTTGAAAGTGCTTGGGCTTACATAAGGCTTTTTCCAAGGTACCTACGTGCCTGCCCACCTCACCTTAGGTACCTTGCCGTACCTTACCTTTTAGTGCGGGCAGTTACTCCTTCACGATATCACCTTCCTTTCGGGTTCATGCAATTCACTTTGGAAAGTGCCGACCTCCCTACCTTGGTAGTTTGTTCTTTCCGCAATAGACAACGGGACTGAATGTAGCACGAGGTCTCTTCCATTGCCTCTATATTTGCCCAAGTACCTAGGTCCACGAATTATCACCTAAGGTACTAGAGGTACTGCGAGGCACTTCTTGCTAAGGTATCCTGCCTTCCTGCAGGACATGAGGCAACCAAAAGTTACTTACCTTACTTATGTAAGGTAGGTCCTCCAATCTTCATGCTTCGTGTCTTTTCTCCATCGACTTCAATTTCCGACCACGTCTGATTCCCAGTCTTGTTGGCTTTGGTTTCAACTCCCTTCGTGCAGGCCGACGGAACCAGCAAACCGGCACCACTAGGTGCCGTAGGAACCTTGCCAACACGGGCACTCACGGTTTCCCACGTCAGCCACGTGTGCAGCAGCAGCAGCAGCAGCAGCAGCAGCAGCATGTTGAGCTGGCGAGATTTGGCCCCAAGGCATCTTTAGACTCCATCCCACGCGCCCGCCCCGCGCCCTTAGAGACTTGCTATGCCAATCTCAAGTGTTGTTCTCGATCCCAACTCGACAACCTCTTCCTACCTCGACGGCTTTCCCATGACTACGGTCCGCGGTATTTGTCTATCTACGGAGAACAGGTCGGTCGCGACCAGTTGTCACCAGTTACTCAAGCATCACTGATGTATCAAAGAGGCTGGAACTCTTCGACTCCCATTAACCTTTGACGTATCAACCAACCCAGACCGTGGTCTCGACCGCTCGGCTCCGGAAAGTTCCTCGCCCTCCACGACACCACCTACACAACCCTCACATTCATCCAATAACTTGCCAGACATCAGCAACACATTGTCGTTGCGTAATGTCCCGAATGTCCCGCACTGCTGGCGAGTGGCCACAAGTCATCTTGCCTCTCTCCCGAAACACCGGCTTTCTTGAAACATGTCAGTCACGAGTCCACGTACGACAAACAAATCTACGTATTACAGATCAGTACGGAGTACACACGCCAATTGGCTGTTGTCCTTTGGCTCTTTGCGCTTCCCCACCGTCGTCACCCACAGCATCTCTTCCCAAGCCTCATCAGCATCGCAAGGTTCGAGCCGCCTTTTCATTCGGCTCCATCCTCCTTCCGGCATCTCTACATCTTCCACGCCGTGCACCGATGCTCCTTCTCGGCACTTGAAGAGACCTGAGCCTTCGAGCTGGCCAACGACACTTACTCACGAGTCATACTGTTCGACGACTAGGTATCAAGCTGTCCCCTACGGAATACACGATCAAAACATCTCCAGTTCTCCTACGGACATGCTTCCTCCACCACATCCATGCATGCATGGCACGGGTGCCGTAGCGCTGTGGGTCATTCTTACACACCCCAGATTCCTAACGCCACGACCCAAGGCCTTAATTAATCTCAGAGCCAGGGGTCTCTGCTCAGTTTGCTCCAATCATACCCCTGCGTTCTTCGTCTTCCTGGTCCTCGTCCCTCTTCGAGGTCCTCAAGTCCCAGACATTTGATGCCTCCACTTCAAAAACAGCACTTCCACTTCCAAGACCAGGGCTAGGGACGGGAAAGTGGCCCAAGCGGTGTTCCGAGTCTGGACCAGCCAGGATCGAATGCCCGTCACGTCAATACAGAGAAAAAGGGAACTATGGGCACTTGGAATGGGATCCATTCGAAACTGGGATCCTCGCCAGTCATGATCGTCCAGCAAATGCTATCCACGTCCTCCGTTTGCTGTCACATTTGACATGCTATTCGCGGCGCGTCCACAGCATTTACTCGACGTGTCATGTCTTTATGGGAATGACGAACCCCACAGCGACTTCATGCGCGAGCAGCTATCGGCTGGATTTTGTCCTTTGCCTGTTGCTTCAAGGACTGTCTGCCACGTCGCGCGCTGTCGCACCCACTGAGAATGTGTGCACTGAGCTTTCGCCGTGGTCTGGCTTTGCCCCCCTTGGCCTAGGCCTGTGGAATCCTACAATACAACAGAGAGTGGCTAGGCTTGCTAGGTATCTGGCCAGACTCGGTCTAGCATGTTTATGTGTCATGCAGGAGGTAGTACCGCTTCTGCAGGAACAGACTACAGGCACATCCTTCGCCAGCAGAAATCGTGGAATTTGCACACTGAGCCGGAAGCCAAGGCGCCCGTACTCCGTACAGGCAGGCACCTTGGGTTGGGTTAACTATGGCCGGACACATGCTGCACCGTCTTTTGTTCAGCCGTTACTTGCGCCGCCAAATGACGGCACCGTGTATCCAGTGTAAACATCTGCTTCACAAAAGAAAGGCAGTCATCACGGCATGACTCTAGGACGTTGCCTCAACTTCGACGCAAATAACCTCGAGGGACAGTTGTTAACCCAAGATCCCTCGAATCGACGGTTTTCTAGGAATACTCGCGGGATAATCACTTCTCGGAAGCCCCCGTGGTCTAGTGTTACGAGACAGGAAGCTCGTCGAGCCCCTTCAATCTCCAATCTCTTCCAGTTTTGTCACCAATTGCACTCTTGGGAGTTCGAAGTGATGCTAGACTGTTGCGCAAGTCCAAACCCGAGCGCCTGACAAAAACACGGAACTCTGCAGCCAAAGACCGCTCACTCCAGCACTCACTATGCCTTCGATGACTCGGGACCAGTTCCTAAACAAGTCATGAGGTCACACAACGCCACTGGGCAATCCCTCGAGCCTCTCACCAGCACCTCTCAATTACATCTCATGGAAGAGTCTGGGCTTTGGAAGTTCCCAAAGTTGAGACGCCGTTGAACTCCGGAACAAGCGGCTACTGATCCTCGTGTGCAGGCACTGTTTAAAGAAGACACTGACATGGTTGGCACATTGGCAATTGAGAGCTTCCCAGTCTACAAAGAGTGAGCAAGTTAGGCAGTCATGATTTACGTGGGAAAAGCGGTGTCTTTGCTGCAGCTTCTACTTCCACCGATGGCACTGAAAGGCTGGTGAATCAGAAGGGGGCCGTATAGCGATCGGTCAGGTCGGCAGTTTCTTTCGATCTGAAGAGGCTCAATCGATGTCCATCGCTCAAGGGGCAAATACGGCGAATGGGCAGACCCGCTTGGAACCGGCAATCCGGAGCCAAAATGGCAAGATAATTCTCTTCAGGCCCCTGAGGCTCGCGGGCGCAGGCCGTCAGTTCTTTTCCAGATCCGGAGAATCATCCCCGGTCGTGTTGATAAAGTCGACATTACGGCCTTCAATCAGCCAACGAGAGAGCTCAGAGTGGGATGGAACAAGCAACAGATGGCAGTGAAGAAAGCGGGGCCTTGGAGAGAGGCAGGTTCTGATGAGAAGTATCAGAAGTCGATGCCAATTTAAACCGCTGTAGCGGTGTAGACTACGGAGTACGG